CGGTGGCTAGACGGAGACAGAGGGAAAGAGGGCGTCGGCGGCGAGAGAGGGGGATTGGGGGCGGGGGCAGGTGCGTTCATCGACGAGGGAGGGGGCGCCTTTTATAGCGGCGGGGGGGCAACATGTGTACGCGTGGCGGGAGGGGCGCGTCGCTGCACTGCGCCGCCCGTGAGGAATCAATGGAAGGCTGACCGGCGGCAGCCTTGGCATTGATTCCCCGCGAGAAACCGAGGCGATGAGGACGACGAGGCGCGGGGGTCGCTGACTCGGCGGACCCGCCATTCTTTCGCGCCAAAAGCTATTGCCCCGGCGCCCCCGGACGCCACCCAGAGCGCCGGCTTCGGCCTGGGTCCGCCGGTGCTAGTTTCGGGCCTAACCGGCAAAAATTAGGCTCATGGGGGCACGAGTGGGCTGTTTTTTCAGCGTCAGCGCGAAAAAAGTGGCCCTGGGGCCTATTGGGGGCGCGGCTGGAGATGCTCTAAAAAGGTGTCGCTTCAACCAAAGTCCTAGACTGAACTCCTTATATAATTGGACACAAATTCGGTTCAAATTAGATTCAATCAACTACATCGAACTCGATTCAACTGGTTGCATAAACTATTTTTATAATTTAAAAGAAATTTAAATTAGTTTGAATGAAAACTTAAAAAACTACTCATTAGAGCTCTCATTCATCAACCTCTCCTAGTTCGATTAGGTCATGGCATTCTCGCGCGCTCCGTCAGCACCGCCCTGATCCCTCCGCCGGCCCGGCCCTGACCCCTCCGTCGGCACCGCCCTGACCCACTACGTTGCCACCAACACCGCCATCACCATCTACATCACTGTCGCTAGAGCAAAGTTCTATGACCGCTGCTGCCTAGGACTTGTATAGCTCGTATAACTAGCGCTCTTGCCTGATGCGCTACTGGTATAGGTGGCGGACCTCCGCCATGGACGCCTTCCCAACTTGCTACGCCTCGAGGTGCTGCCAGGCCTCTTGGTCATCCCACATCTTCCGTGCGGTGGCCACCCGAGGGTCGACAGGCTTCAACTGTAGCTGGCCATTGGGGCGGTTGCGTTGGGCGTTGGCGCCGTGGAGGCGCATCAATCTTATGTCGTGTTCCTGTGCTACCTGCACCGCCGATTGTAACTCTGAGGGTGGGCGGCCGGGTATATTTAAGATTCGCGGTCACGCGTAGTGTTATAAGGGTTCAGTCAGGTGCACGTTACAAGACAAAACATGAATTTATCCTCGTCAAACTTATTATATGGAATCGGTTAGAGATCCTCTAAGTCTAGTATAACGTCTACGTTGTTCTCACCTCTTGAAACATTTTCCACCCGTCTTCCAGAATAAGGGGAGAACTTGCTGAGAGCTACTCACGAACCACATTTGATGTGTCTAGTGCCACTGATCCTCGTGTAGGTTGAGGTCGAGGTCCAGCGTTGAATTCCCGGGAAGGATCCATGCATGCACAAACAACTAATGATCTCAAATATCTCCTATCAACGTCTCTGCATATAGAGGCTCTTGTTTTTTTACATGATGTTTGTTATTCTTGACGACTCGGCTGGCTCATCCTGTTATTATAGTAGCATGCATGTTGCTTCTAGCTCGATCGGTTGGTAATAAAGGGAAATCCTGGTAATAAGGGCTGGGCCCATCAGGTTAGTATAGTACTCTTTGAAGACGGTCTTCAGAAGCAAGTAGTAGACATTCAGTGGGCCGGCTGACCCAGACTAGATGGCTGAGGCCGGGCTAGGAGTAGAACGATGTTCTTCTATTTTTAACGGTGTATACCATATAAACATACCAACACAGTGACAATTTTTTTCTACTAAATGCATCATATAATTCATATTTTAATAATACTCAAAAGGTTGAATGAATTTGATCTTACATACACCATACGAATTACACAATGAGTATCAAGAAATTCTCACATAAAATAGGACCAGTGCTACAAGCACTGTCCCACTAAGCATCACAATTTCCATTTTACACAATGCATAGTTATCAGGAAACTGTCCCTAGCCCCGGTAGATTAATTGGTCCACACACATTGTTCATTTGAAATAAGAGTTTCTAGGAAATGTTTGCCCAAAGTGCCACCCCGGCACAACATTGTTGTAGATAAAGCGTTTGACCATCAATGTTGGTTAGTCTAAAGGAAAGCATCATGCAAGTGAAGTTCGGGAACGAGTGCCAGCCGGCGCCCAGGAATCAGAGCTCTTGACACCCGTTCACTTCTTTGGGCGTTGAGTCGGCTGGTCTATCAGGTTAGTATAGTAGCAGCCACCTTGTAGACCTATCCGTCGGTAATAAGAACTGATAATTACCTTTGAATTGAGGTGGAGGGGTGAGCTAGAATTACAAAAAGAAATACTTATTGTTACAAGGTCTTCTATAAAGCTTCAACTTATAAAATAGGTCCAGAAAGGACTTGAAGGATAAAGTTTTGCATCAACAATTTGCATTATTCAAACCATACTAATTAACAGTCAAAGACAAGCGATTATTTTATTTTTTCCTCGTGACCATGAGGTCACGGGTTCTAGTCCTGGAAACAGCCTCTTGCAGAAATGTAGGGAAAGACTGCGTACAATAGACCCAAAGTGATCGGACCCTTCCCCAGACCCTGCGCAAGCGGGAGCTACATGCACTGGGGCTGCCCTTTTTTCTTGTTTGCATGTCTGGACAAAATAACTGTATATGTCATGTAGCAGTACATAATTTCTGGTTTATACATGGATTATTTTATGTTCTCCTATGCAAATGGCGTACCACTATGTAGACAGCAAGACAATGACATAATGTGTTTACAGAATGCATCACATGATTGATTTTGAAGAATATGAAATCAATAAATTTAATTGGATCTATATACAGCTTACCAATTACACAAATGAGTATGAACAAATTGAATGGTAACATTAGACCAGTGCTATAAGTAGCATACACATTAACCACCATAACTTGCATTTCATCGCAATGCAGTGTAATGATCACAAATCGGTCACTTGCCCTGGTAAGTTAATTGGTCGGCAGACATTGCTCACTAGAATTGCAACTTGCTAGCAAATGATTGCCCAAAGTTCCATCCCTTCGGCACAACGTTGTTGAACACAAGCGTGTGTCCATCAGTGTTGGTTAGTCTAAAGGAGAGCATCTTGCCGGTGAGGTTCGCCAGCGAGTGCCAGTTAGCGCCCCAATTGCGTGCCATGGGCATCCAGTCGTTGAAATCAGAGCTCTTGACGTCCATGGACTTGATCGAGCCTGCTGCACCAACGTTGCTCACAAGCACAAGATTGAAGTAATCATGACCATTGATTCTGAACCTGACGCCACCCCGCTTAACACATGGAACTCTGCATGTGTATGGCAGTGGCATGGAAAAAAGTTAAAGTTATATGTTGCTACGATGACTTTGGACTAAATTTTAAACTTATAAGAGACGCATGTATACCTCTGGTACATGACGGGGATGATGCCACCTCTATAAACACCGATCTTCTCCCATGCCGGCTGGGCCATGTCGAAGTGTGGCCGTAGCGGGTTGCACGAGCCTCCGTTGTCATTGGGGAGGGCGTCGTTGGGCGGGCAAAAGTTCGTGGCAGTGACAGTCACCGTCACGCCGGGCTTGCAAAACAACGGGTCCGCTCGCTTCCGGTCGCATGCGATCTTGTAGCACTGCCCGCACGCGGCGCCGTCATTGAACAACACAGTGCTCAGAGCCGCCGTGCGCGTCCCGCAGCCTTCAGAGAAGAGGTTGCCGTACCCGCACGCGCCACCTGCAATACATAGAACACATCGCAAGTGTTAGTGCAGAGAAGAACAAGATGAACCGGGCATGCACGCACTAGATTGATGTAGAGGCGTGAGTGCTGGAATTTTGTCTATTTTAGGCCTAGCCCAATAGCAGTTTCAGAAATTCCTAGTAAATTCTAGAGGCTCACACAACCCATTTGTGCAAGGCAAGAGGTGGAACAAAAATTTAGTCCCACATTGCTAGTTGAGTGGGAGTTGGACCTCCTTATAAGGGAGGTTCTCTCCTCACTTGTACGAGCATGAGAACAAGAGGGATATCCACGCGCGCTCCTGTTAAAGGTTCTGCCACAGTTCCTTGTTCTAGTCCTTGTCCTACACATGTTAGGTTCTACTTCATATATGCAGAGGCTATTTACCTTCTCTCTGTCAGAACGCATGACTTGTTTTATCTCTTCTATATTAGTCATGCTTTATCTAGTATTTCTGTTAATAAAATCATTTGATAAATTACTCATATATCCAACAGTGAGTTGAATGATTAGTTGATTACCCATTGTATCGGAGGCGTCAGCACCGCCGTAGAACGTCGCATGCGCCTTCTGCCAGACGAAGGGTTGCGGGGATGTCGTGCTCGGATTGTCCGCGGCCACAGAGAGCACACAGCCGATCGCTGCCAGCAGCACCCCTGCAGCAACTCGAGCTAGAGCCATATCTGCCGCTAGCTGCGTCTGGCTTGAAGTATCTATGGATGCGTTTGCTCGTGTGTGATTTATTGCTGACGGTTGTGAGTGATCTGACGATCATTTGTGTATATATAGTCCTCCCATGCGGTCGATTTGTGCGTACGTCGCTAGAGGATTCAGCAAGGCCACCCTGATTGGATGAATGAAGCATGTAGCGTGCAAAGGTGCCTGGCCGTGCAGCGGAGCCAATGCTTGCATGCCAATCAAGAGATATATGTATAGTATGCACGTAGGCGCAGACCCGTCCCTTGAATCGTACGACGAGTGTTCATGTCCTGCATCTGGTCCTCAACGTCGGCGGCGCACATAGGGTGTGATGATTAGGTCGTGAAGAAATCTTGAGTTGCTAGTAAGGCACATCAATAGATACTTTCAATCCTTCCATTTTCATGCATGGTCATGAAGTAATGTTCGTCGGCTTGATCATGCGATCATTCTTTGGCCGTTAAACCAGGCTAATCCTCAAGTTGCCCAAACGTGTACGCGGGCAACGTTTTCCGTTAGCAATTTATCGGTTTCACCATACCTTTTCGTGTTTGTTTGTTTCTCACTTTCCACTTTTTCTTCTAGTTTCCTTCTTGGAGTTTTGTTTCTATTCCTAGGAGCAACAAACCAACGTTTATCCTTTGGGGCTCCCGCAAGGATCTTTTATTTTTGTCCTCGGAGCACGTGAAGTGGTGCGTCCAGTTGCAGTAATTTATCGCGTGTTGGGCACTCTTTCCGAGGTCTTTTTTACCTGTGTCTCCCAGGGGCAGATCCAGAACAAAAATGTCCCGGTGTCCACATGTATACAAGGATAGATACCAAACAATAGTATGCACTCCATTCCTTTATATATGAGTTTTTAGAAAAATATATCAATATCCACATTACGAAATTCATATCATTTGATCCTTCAAGAAGATAGTTTCGTATTTTATCTATTAGGTTTTGTAGATGTTGTTATTTTATTTTATAATTTTGGTCAATCATTTAAATGGTTGACTTGCACGGAAATCAATACACCTTATATTCTGGAACGAAGAATAACACACCCAACAACACAAATTATATGGCAGTGAGATTTCTTACAAAAATGAACTGGTTCATGTGATGGGCAAGCTATATCATCTTGTGCTGAGGACTTTATTTTTTTAAGAAACATTTCCATAAATTCTCATGTTAATAATTATTATTGTGTTAGCAAAAATGTATGAGTTACATTATTTGTGTTTGCATATGCAAGAATAGAAACAATAAACAAAACATATTTTTTTGGTCAGAAATAAACAGAACATATTGATTGAACAATACGATTAGGGAGTTAAACTTACTCAACATTGTGATTTGCCGTTCTTGCTGAAATAATCCTCCCATGGTTAGATGTGAATCGCAGCGAGTTGTTCTCAATTATAATACCTTTAAATTTTAAAACCCTAGCCATACAATTAAAAAAGAGAAATTTGAGAAATTAAAATTCCTACACACAGTTGCGATTTCAGATTTGAGAGAGATCGGCAATTACCAAGTGCAGAGTTGAGAGGTACCTAAAATTTCCAACAATCTCTCGGTGAGCGATGTAGAGGCAGCCGGCTAGCGATGCTTGAACGTTTCAATGGACAACCAGGACGAACCAGCGACTGGCCGCGCGACTGGCAGCGCAGCGGCGGAGAAGGGCCGAGGACGGAGAAGCCGAACGGATGAGCAACAGAATAGGCGCACGCACAGACGTATTGGGGATTAATTAATTAGATTGATAGCTTTTTCTCAACAGGCGCACGTACAGGGATCGATTAATCGATCGATCTGGAGTGGGCATTTACCTAGATGGGCTGCTATGCCTGGTTTGCGTTCGTGTATCGGTGGGCTGGCCGGTGTCCAGGTCAAAAAGTTACCGGTGTCCAGCCCAAAAATCTGTACCATGCATAAGGTGAATATGAGTTTTACCCGGTGCCAATGACATCGGAGAGACAACGTGCCTCCGCCCCTGGTGTCTCCGCAAGAAACACATATTTGCTTTCACGGGAAGCACAACTAATGCTTCCATTAAAAGCAAGCACAACTGTGCTTCTTGAAAGGGAAAAGCACAACCTATGCTTGTACGAGAAACATAGTGCTTCCGTGAGAACCACATCATGTGGTTCCCTGGGAAAAGAGAAAATCACATGTGCTTCTAGAAAAAAAAGTGAAAACCACAACCGTGCTTTTGGGCTCCCTTTTTTCTTTTGGTTTTCTTGGCATTCTTTTTTTCGGTTGCCAGTTTTTTCTGGTTTTTGTGTTTGGATTTTTTTGGTATTCGTTTCTTCCTATTTCTAAATTTTTTTCTTCTAGTTTCTTGGGTTTTCGTGAAAAAAAATTCATCAAAATCTATTAACATGCGATTTAGTTTCAACCATCTCGGCGTGTAATATGCAATGCTGGAAATGATTTGGTATAAATGCATGATTAAAAAGATAAAACATTTTGAATAAATGAATCAACAAAAAATAAGAACTCTCAGGTTGTGACAAGTGGCACATGCAATGCATCCACTTGCCAGCACCTAAAGAGGTGGGGAATAACCTTTGAAAAGGGTAACCCTTAACTAGTGATTTCGTTTTTTCTAACGATATTAAAAATATACATTTTCAAAGATATTATAAGTAAAAAATTAATGTTATTTGGCCACATTGGGACGGCCCATATAGGGGAAGGTGTGTGTGTGGAGGTTTGCCCAACAGCACTTATTTGAAGCACAAATGGTCGAGCAAACGCATAGAGCGCTCGCTCCCTGGGCTGGCCCAATTCAGTGCATCCTGAAGCACTTCGTCCTGAGTGATTGTCTTTCCTCAGTTTAATATTTTATGGCTTTATAATTGGTTTTTCATACATTTTTTTTATTTATCTTAAGATTTAATTGCTAAACTAGTTTTATCAATATTTAAAATATTTTTCAAAGATTATATTATTGTGCCACTTTGGGGCGGCCCATATAAGGAGCTGTAAACATTTGTTCACCTATATGTCCAACTATTAAGGGTTGTGCGCGCAGGCGAACAAGCCAGCGCGCACCCTCCTTCCCGCAGCGCGCCACTTTGGACTGGCCCATTTGCAGAGCTCGACGCGCCCTGTTTTTTTCTTTATTTTTCTTTTTTATTTTAATCTTATTTCAAATACTTATGGATTAAGAAAACGTTCAAAAATTCCAAAAATGTGAATTTTGAAAAACATGTTAAAGAAATCATAAAATGTTCACGTATAAAAAAATGTGCTTTTCCAAAAAAAATGTTCATATACTTCTAGTAAACTTTATGAGTTTCAAAAAAATTGGGAATTAGAAAAATGTTCACCAAGTTTTTAAAAATGCTCGCGCTTTCATAAAAGATCACAATCTGATAAAAAAATATTCACGAAAACAGAAAAACAATTGTGTGTTCAGAACATGTTCACAATTTTTCAAAACTTGTTCAAAAATGTTTCCCGATCAAATTTATTTTTCCAATTTTAAAAATTGTTTGAAAATCTCAAAAAATATTAACTGATTAATTTTTTTTGCTGTAAAACATATTCATGGGTTTCAATAAGATGTTCAATTTTTTTAAAAAATGCTGCGAATTTAATAAAAATATTCATGATTTAAAAAAAATCCATGGATTTAAAATATGTTTATGATATCCAAAAAATTTCACTATTTATGGAAATGTTCAAAAAATTTAAGTTTTTTCGCAAAATATAAAAAATGGGAAATTAAAAAATTAAAGAAAAAGAAACGAATAAAGAAAATGAAAAAGGAAAGAAAAAGGAAAAAGGAAAAAGGAAAATGAAAAAGGAGAAAAAACCGAATGAAAAGGCAAGAAAATAACCCGGTTTGGGACGGTTCTAGAACTTTCCCAAACTGGAAACGAGCTATGTTGGGTTGGCCCAAATGTAGGTAGCGTGGGGTGCGCGCGCGGTCGCTAACCAGTGACTAGCGCGCCAAATACGATCCCCGCGGGAGCACCTATCTGGTGCTGATATGGTCGAGCAAATGTATAGACAGGTCGCTCCCTGGCAAGCCTAATTCGGTGCATCTTGGAGCGCTTCATCCTGAGTAATTTTCATTCACCAGATTTCTATTGTAACTTCTTCCAGTTGGTTTTTAACCGATTATGGGATTTATTTTGATTGATTTAAAAATATAATAATCCAAGATTCAAAACGAATAGGTTACATATTTTTTTTAAATGTTTAGGAATATTAAAAAAATCATATATTACAAGAGATGTTCACGAATTATAGCATATTAACATATTTTCAAATTTAAAATTTTATTAATTTATAAAAATGGTTGTGATTGGTACATGAATTAAGACCCCCGCCCATTTCTTCCCATCTTGTTTGAATGGGTGAAAAATTCATCGCAAATGTTTGTGCAGGAGAGACCCAAATCTTCGTTACCGTTTGAGCAGCCATGGCCCATGTCCTTCTCTACTCAATCGCCGGCCAATCTCACTCCGAGATTAAGAACCCATTGCCTCCCTTCCAATCTTTGAACCTAGTGTTTACGTATTTTTATGAATTAGCAATTGTATGCAATGGGTCGTTGAAGTAATTTTGGGGCAAAGGATAGGGGGAGACTCGTCGAAGGGGTTTAGGGACAAGGGATAGGGGCAGAAGACTCGTTGAAGGAGTTTAGGGGCAAGTGATAGGGGGAGAAGACTCGTCGAAGGGGTTTAATTTAGGGTTAGGGTGAAATGGTGTAGAGTTGTCGAAGACAAGCCTTCTTTGTTAGGGGTTTAGGGGCCATAGGTCTACATCACTATTCGATATGTGTGTTCCTTTTGTAAGAGATGTTCTAGGAGGAAGGATCATGCCTGTTGTCATTGGAAGTTATCCTTGTTCTTGTCCTCCTCTGAGACCTTGGTAAAGCAGGGAGGAAGTGGAAGCACAACCATCACCCACGGTGGCTAATAACAGTGAGTGATCAATGTCCATCATATATACAACAACTAGAGAGATGGGAGATATTC